ATCATTAGCAGGAAGACAAAGGGAAAGATTAACAATGTGTTTTGAGAGTAAAGAAGATGCAGCTGAACGCAAAAGGGAGCAGAAACAACAAGGGAAGCAGAAAAGTCCTGTTGGCAAGTTTGCTAACATGGAATGGGATAAGCAAGGGATGAAAGATGAAGTTAATAGTTATGGAGATGACACTTTGGTCAACTGGTCTGAGTTAGCAAGACAATTCCAAATCAAAAACAAAACTGGAGAGTTAGCTCAAAACGGTGGTCAAATTGCTATGGAGTGGCTGAAGTCGGAAGGAGTTAATGTGGAAAGATTTAAGAAAAGAAGAACAGAATGTAATGAGGGCAATATAAGAAAAAAATTAAGAAGAGGTGCAGGTGGTGAAATCACTGTTCCATGTCCTGAAACCAATGGAAAAGTGCTGAAGAAATTGCAAGAAAAAGTTTTGTCAGGCGAAATCAATGTTGGGGAGCTAATAGTGCCAAGAAAGGTAATTAAATCGCAATAGTTATATAAAATTATCAGGTTTTAGACATTTTAAATAACTGGAAATTATTTCAAAAAATATTAAAATATTAATATACCACTGAAAATCAATTCAAATATACTGTACCAGTAGTCAGATTTATGTACAGTAGTAATAATTAATAAAAGGAAATTATAGTTTAGAGATTGCAATAGTTTTTGTGATTCTTATTCCTAAATACTGGTATTGAAGTAGAAGAGCTAGTACTGTAAATGTTAATAAAATAGTAAAGGTTCACAGTAGATTTAAACTGTTTGCATTTTACCTGTGAGCTAGTTTTAATTAAAATCAAATAATCTTTCATTCTTGTTTAGTATGAGAAGCTAGTGCTCAAAGAGGATGGTTCAATCGAGAAGTCTTCCTTTTTTGTGGAAGGACGCAAATGCCCACTGGTTGAGATCAGGAGAAGAAAGCTACACGAGTTGGAGAAATATATGCGAATTAATGATAAAAAAGATGTGGATAGCATGAGTGTGACAGAAGTTGAGAACGGGTTGACAATGCTGAATGAGAGAAAAGAGGGTGAGGATGAAATAGAGATGAGAGTGCGGCTAAGGGTAATGGTAAGAACACGGCATCTACTAGTATGGCATGACCTATCTACAGTAGCGAACCATTCTCACCTTGTCTTTATGGCAACCTGCTTATATGACCAAGCCAAATTCTACACCAACAGTGAATATGAAGCCATCACTGAGAAAAAAGTAAATATCCAGTCATTAGTTGAAGCACTAAGTCTGTACATTGTAGCAAGGTCCTCATCCTGTGATGAAGATCAATTATGTTACATTGAGACCAGACTTGACTGTTTAGAGGAACTCTCAGACCCCACTACTACAACCACTGGTGTACCTGTTGCAGACAAGATAAGGTTTTCCCACGGTGACAGTCCTTCTCGTCAATATGAAGCTGGTCAACAGAAAGGTGGGAATTTCTACTGTGCCATGTGTGGTGCCAATGCTCATCGGGTGCATGAACTTGATTATGTGTTTCGTTGCCCACATGTATCACTGGAGGATCGACAACAGTTGGTGTTTAAAGGTCCACATGGTAAAGCAAATTCTTTGGCAAAGTCAAATAAACCTTTCCATGGATTAACAAAACCCAACTTGATCAGGGAGTTGAATGCCAGATCAATCTACTGTATGAAGGAGAAAAAAAGAAAGAATTAGAGGATCTCTTGAAGGATGAGCTGCATGGAGTTCAAAGAGTACCAGCCCTACTTTTCACCAGTCCCAATAAAACCTTAGAGTCAATTAACTGTGCTGGTTATGAGATTCTAGGTTTTGAACCCCTCCACGACATTGGGAAGCATATCGAAAATCTATTTTGTGAGCTACCAGACCATCTGCCAACCAATGAAGCTTCTAAGTTGAAGGCTATTCTTCAATTGTGCATTGGGGGGAAAGACACAAAGCGAACCATTGATTACCGCTGTGCTTTGATTGTTGTTTCAAATCAGCTTAGAGGCTCCGTTAATCCAAAGGTTCAATTGTTGCTTGACACCCTTGTTGAAATTCAAGAAGTAGCCTACAACTCAGAAGAGCACAGAACACCACGATCAGTTCTGAGATCTCATAACCTTACCTGGCGTCACGCAATGTTGTGCAGGTCAGTTATCGGGTTTTCCTTGAAGCAAATGTCAACACGAAAGTTTTACGGTAACTACTTCCACAACATTTCAGCACATGCACCAATCCAGAACAGACTGATAAGCGGCCGATCTGCAAACACCGAAGAACAGGAACGAGTATTCAATAGCATCAACAACATAACCCGAATGACATCTTCTAACCATCCCGAGCACATCATTGGCAACGTCTTTATCCGAGTCCAGGCTGAAAAGGAATTGAAAGCTGAACAACCATCAACCTCTCACACACAAGAAGCTCATGTTTCCAAACTTGCATCTTCTCTTCCAAATTTTGGAAACACTGTTATTCCTAAACAGATGCTAGTAAGTAATTTCAGACCTTGGCAAGCTCATCTTGAAAGGATCTGTGATTTCTTATTAGCAGGTGAAGGAATTTGGTGGAGAACATGCAACAATGGTGACATTGAGTTTTTTGATGCGAAGGGAAATCCTGAAGCAGTTCCTCAAGGACCGACCTTGCACCATTTCCGCTCCAGCAACTTTAAAAAAGAGGAAGCTTACTTAAAGCACTGTTGGCAAACATGCTTAAAGAAAAAAATAGAAATGCCAGTCAAAGTACTTCAGATTGAAAATGCCGAAGGTAACATGGTATTTATGGATACAAACCAGGAGAGGGAAGGTATGGAAGTTGGATGTGCAGGGAGGGCCATCGTTGGTCAAGGTTGTACGCCAGAAAGTGAAGATATTGGTGTTGTTGATGAGAGTGTGGTTGGATGTGATGCAGTAGTTGGTTGTGATGCTGAGTTAGGTTGTGATGCTGTGGTTGCAGGTGGTGATGATGTGGTTGGTTGTGATGATATTGTAGAAACAGGTGAGCTAGAAGTGGATGTTGAATATAATGTAAGGTTAGTTGAGGTTTCTGAAGATAATGTTGTTTGTTTTGAGAATGATCATCAGGGTGAAGCTAATGAAACTGGTTCAAATTCTGAAGCAAACACTATGAAACCAAAAAATAGGGATAAAGGTACTTGTACCAATATTTGTATTACAGTACTGTAATTATTGTTCTATTATCCACAAATAGCCTTAAGTTAATTAAATAGCTATTTCAATTTAATAATCGGGTGTGAATATTTCTTTGCCTACTTTGATTAAACACATTTGGTCTTGTTTATTTCTAGGAGACGATATGAAACAGACAGCACAGACAAAACAAGGACAAAAATTAGGATATATTTTAGGACTGACCGAGGATGTGTTGCAGTTTGATAAGGCAAGAAAAGAATTACGGGCTTCACCCCAAAACACGGAACTCATAAACAAATACTTACACGTCTTACCAGTCATGGAAACCAAGTTACTGCACGAACAGACTAACATCAAACAACAGCTGAAGAACATCGAGCGGCAACACGTTCATAAGAATGGTACACTACTGACAACGAAAACCTTGTTAAAAGATCCAACTTCGAAACTGCTGATGGACAAATTGAAATACTGTAAAGCCTTAACGGATCAGTGGAAAGTAGAAAGAAAATGAAGAAAATTAAACAGATTAAAGATGATAAAACGGCTCTTTTAAGAGCCACCAAATATTTGAAAGAATACAAGCAATTAATCGATATAAAATTTCGGTCTTGCCTTTTAGCCCTTTCCCCGTTCCCTTCGGTCGTGATTATTAAATATACAGTCGTTAAATTGAAATTATTAACATACGTATTTATAGATTACTTACCGCGAAAAGTGCGAAACCACAAATATAGCGTGTTTTCAGGGAGCAGCAGAGGACGAGGTCCGTTGTACAGTATTCTGTATTTGATGCATGAAATTGCTGTTCCATCAATACTTATAAACAGGCCGTTTTTACCACGCAACCGTTTATTTTCATATTCAATAAGTTACAGAAAGATGAATGTTGTTTAAGCCTTGTAAATAGACTTTCAAGATGGTCCATAGGCTACATCAGTAAGAGGCAGTTTACAAGAACGATTTAAACTTTTAAAGAACATAATTAAGCATTACAAACGTTTCGTTCCTAAGCGACCACAGACCACACAGTTCCCCAATCTGAGTTTTCAAACTCATTTAATATCATTATTTATACATTTACATAACTTTAATGCAAAATAAAGCTATAGTTTACCAGAGATTTAATACGATATGAACTCGTATAATTCTGTATCAGTTAATTTTTTCAAATAAGTCCAGGGTGCGACTTTAAACTTTAATACGATTCACTTAAAATGCGAACTTCTGATTGTCGTTACCAGTCTGTTGACAAATCGCATTGTTTGCGTAATATAATATGTTGGCGCAATTTCGCGCAGTTGGCGCTAGAATTTTGCTTCGGGAACCGTGATCACAATTTCTTATTGAATTTCTATAATATAGTATATTCCCATTCATTTTCTTTGTTGTTCACATCGCTAAAATCATAATGGAGAAAGCTAACAACGAAATAAGTCAGTTCCAAAAGAAGAGGAGAATGCGAAATTGCCGCAAGAAACGGAGGAGACAAGAGCGAGCGTTAGCCAACCGCATGGTTAATGAAGAGGTTTTAGCGCAGAAAGTAAATGCAGCCGTGAAGGAGCAGAAAGCACTCGCTGAGAAATATTTACCAAGTGGAAAAACATTTCTAAAGAAGCAAACGAACTTCGACGTAAAATACCGGCACAAAGTCGCAAGAGAAAGGTATGATTTTGCTTCAAGAATAGTTGGAATGTGATATATTTTGGATACAGTAATATATTTATTATAGACCTAGCCCTAAGCCCAGGACACCCCCACTCTAATACTGCACCCCCTGTATACTTCACATACAGGTATACTGCTGTAAATAGATTTATTAAATATCATTGAAGTTCATGCTAGTTAAATCAATAAGTTCTCTTCTCTATTGTACAATTAAGCATCCTCTCCAATAAATTCCCACTCAAATGTGCCAAGGGAGGGGGGGGGGGATGGTTATTACATGATTTGTGGTGCTGTGTAACCCATCAAATCATGTGGCGACACCTAGACTACAGTACATAAAGTAAAGGTAAAGCTAAAAATATTTTACAACATTTATTATTGAAAATATCAAGTGTCGGATATTAAATATTGACTGAGACCAGTGATTCTGAAAGGAAACAGTATGTTTTGCTGACTGAGGCATACAGTGTTTGACAAAACATGCTGTTTCCTGCCAAACAACAACAACAACATCAGTCAATAATATTTCATTATACTTGCCAAGTGTAAAAATTGTCCAAATCATTGAAACAAACTATATACATGCCCTCATGGTTTTTGCCAGGATTAGCAACATTCATGCAATTTTGGCAAAATGTCAAACATCACTAGTACTGTTATACCTTACTTAATACACCCTTCCGGAATGTGCAGAACATCATTGGCTATAGAGTATAGAATCTCGTTTTCAGGTATATGATGTAAAACCTAGCATCTCACCATGAAAACATGGCTCTGTAGCCAAGACGATGTACTTTCTGGAAGCATGTATTGTACTCACCACCACATAATAACTTATACCAATAAATATTGAGAGGGATTAAAAGTACAATACCAGATTTACTATTTGTTGGCTACATTAATTTTTACATAGAAATTTAATTCTATTACTAATGTTATAGGTTTCAATGGATACTGCTGCAACTGGTAATGCCTCACTAACCAAAATGAGTACTGCTTCAGTAAAACAAATTAGGCCATGTGAGTTGTTGCCATTGGAAGTAAATAACTCAGCCACTATTCCTGTTGGCTCTGGAACCTATGGGGATTGTTTTCTTAAAACGTTTAAGAGATTTGGGATTACTGTTGTTGAGAAGAAGCTGCCAACATCTGATTTAAAAGCAGTTATGAATGAGGCACAATGTATGAATACACTAACTCATGCATCTATTCCATATTTATTAGGGGTCCAAATTGAAGAAAACCCTTTCTCTTTAGTTATGCAGTTTGTTGGTGATGAGAATTTGGAATCAGTAACAATTCATAAGTTGTTGCACCAAACCATACCAAAACATTTGTTACTTTCTGCAAATGAGTGGATTTCAGTTTTACTTGACATTGCAGAAGCTCTTTTTCATGTTCACATGAAGGGTTTTTTGCACTGTGATGTCAAGTCAAACAATGTTTTGTTACAGGAAAGAAAGGTTTTCTGATAGACTTTGGTAAGGCTTGCTTAATTTCTAGGCCAAAAGCTCGAAAGTACACTTCTTTTTACAACCATATTGCCACAGAGGTTTTGCGAGGTCAGCCTGTGAGTACATCCAGTGACGTTTTTTCGTTTGGGGTAATCATATATACCATTGGAAAGAAATTGCCAAACGCCTGTCTGGAATCCTTAGGAAGGCATTGCAAAGATGCCAAGCCAGCGTCGAGACCAACTATGCCAGAAGTAATGAGAATCTTGAAGGAAAATGTACAATGAAGGCTGTAATTTTGCCAGCACCTGCACCTATATACACAAATTGCAGAAATTAAGACGTTATAACAAACCTGAATTGCCTGGCATTATACAGAGTAAAATAGCAGGGCCGGGTGCATTGCCACTATGTACATTAGAAAAACTATTTACAATGATCACTCCAACTATTTTCATTCTCTAAATTGCTAAAATATATGTTGTCAAGAGTCTTTAGTCAGGTGTCCAGTGGAAACTAACCATGTAAAAGTACAGATAAATTAAAATTAAAAGATTAAATTATAAATTAAACTAAATAGAATACTGTGAATAGTGGAAACTTATGTTGTCAAGACTTCAAGTCTTTAGTCAGCAGGTTGTCAAGACCTAGAGTCTTTCGGCAGCCAGTGGAAACTGTTTTACAGTATGGATAGTATAATTAAACATTTAATTAAATGATAAATTAAACTAGTATACTGTGAATATAGTGGAAACTTATGTTGTCAAGACATTGAGTCTTTAGTAGCCAGTGGAAAATTAAGGTGCTTGCCCCTTGACAAGTAAAATTGTCTGGCATTAATAGACAGAGTAAATAATGTATTTCACGTTTGACCTAGAGTCTTTCAGCAGCCAGTGAAAACTGTTTTACAGTGTGGATAATATAAATAAACATTTAAATGATAAATTAATTAAGCTTAATATTATACCTGTACTGTAAATAGGGGAAACTTAGAGTATGTTGTCAAGACTTCAAGTCTTTAGTGAGCAAGTTGTCAAGACCTTAGAGTCTTTCAGCAGCCAGTGGAAAATTAAGGTGCTTGCCCCTTGACAAGTAAAATTGTCCGGCATTAATAGACAGAGTAAATAATGTATTTCACGTTTTAATATATAGTGTAGTCGCGTTAAGCTGTAAAAATGCTACATATATTATCATATTGTTTGTACAGTATACTACACACTGGCACTGCCTGGCACAAAA